GCAGGCGAGGGGCCGGGGTTCCCGCTCCTACTCCCCCGCTCCGACCCGAGCGCCGCCCGCGCACTGCGCCGAGTTCGAGGCCAGCCTGGCTACTGAGCCAGCCCTTGTCTGCGGAGAACAGAAGCGGGCGTCCGGAGCTGTGGCGGTGGGTCGGACGCCCATACGCACTGAGGTTCACGGTCGTGATGTTTATAGAGCACTGGAAGTCTTTCGTTTCAAATATATTTGTTGTTTCTGAAGCAAACCGTATAATTCTACCCAGTTTGTGTGGGGAGGCGATTTTAAAAGATAAATTACTTGCTAGTTGCCAAGCTGTCTGAAGAACAGAACTGTTAAAGTGGGAGCGAGGGGCCCCTTTCCCTTGCTGGAATGGGGCACTGAGGACCTAACGCTGGGCCGCGGCGGGACAACTTGAGCCTTTTAGACGTTTCTGAAGAGAAGGGGAAGTTGTCCAACTCTGCAATACGCTTCTGCTCGATCTCTTTGGAAAAGGAGGAAATCGAGTAGGAAGGACACAAGAGCGCTGCTTTCCCTCCTGACCCTCAGCACAGCCTGCCTATCGGACCGTGGGTCCGTGGTGGGAGTCCTTTAAAAGAGCATCTTGTCTGTGCTTCCCGATGTCTGTGTGGCACGGCCTGCCCCCTCTGCCCTGTTTCCGACTCCCCGCGGAGTGTCCCTGGCCCAGTCACACCTGCCTCAGGACAGGGGCTTTCCAACTGTTCGGAGTGCGGCCAAGGACGGGGAGCGGCTTCGCTCGGACAAACCACCTCCTCTCCGCGTAGTGCGGACTGGTCTCGTCAGATTTATTTTTAAGAGCTTCAGTATAGCAGTGTATGCACAGACACCCCCCATAATGAGAAACTACTGAGGAGGGGGAAAGAGAAGGGCATGGGGTGAAAAGGGTCGAAAAGTTTTGTGCGCACGTGGGGAGCTGCCAATCTGCATAACCAATTTTGAAAAAATTAAAAAGGATTTTATTACTTTAAAAATTTTTAAATGGCCCACATGGATTTTTAAACTATTAGTGAAGGCACTCTGTAATCTATCTGGAACATTTATTTCTTTGTCTTGGTTTCCTTGACTTTCCTGTATTCCCCCCACACCCCGCCCCACTTCGTGACAGCTGAACTTCCCTACTCTCCACTTCCTGTCCTCTATCCTGAATTCGGGGAGGCTGGGGTCCCCATCCCGGCTCCCTCCCACTGTAGAGAGAGCCATCCCTTTCCTGAGCCCTTCTTTCTGTCTGGGAGAGGGTTCAGCTGTGCTCCCTTCATCCAGGAATAGGGCTGGGGGGGTGCGGTGTATAAACGGAACGTTCTTTTCAAACAAACCTGTCAAACATGTCCTACACACCTCATGCTCCTTGCCCTCCATCTTCTTCCAACCTTCCAAAAGACCGTTTCTTCCCTTCATTCCGCTCAGTGTATCAAACCAACGTTAGATGCAGGTTTTTTTAAAACTCCAGATAAAAATAATTCATTTTGCCCTGCTCACTTTATGCCTAACAACCCTGTGTTGGGATGGGAAAAATTAAATACATGATTAGATAATTTAAAAAGGAAAGAGAATGGCGATAAACTATTATAGAGTAGAAATACATGGCAATGATGTTGATTCTGGTACATTACAAATACTTTTGAGAAGCAAGGTTTATAAACCAGTGTTTTCCCCATCCTGTATGTATCAAGAACCATCTGTATTCTTCACTCTGGGGCATATAGAAAATGCATGCCACCCCCTTAGTCTCTAATCATTTTCTTCATATGTATATATTTGGTACCAGGTATATATATATATAT